AGATAGAGATGCATTGTGATTGAATTTGTAGGTTTATTTAAGGGTACACACAAGATCAATTTTTTATGATTTAAATCATAAGTGTTTTCATATATTTATTTGAAGACAAAAAATAATTTCGAATTTTTTTTTACATTTAGATCAAATTATTAGTATGATGTATAATTTTCCTTATAATTTTGTTTAAGGGCAAAAGAGCAATTCAAGGTACTATATCCAATGATTATTAATAAATGTCATTTTGTGACCTGAAAATCAACTCATAGTTAAAAAAAAAATAATTTGTCACATGCTTGTACATAGAATTTAAAATTTAAAATTAATTTTTATGAAAATTTATATACTTATGTATAAAAAAATAGTAATGCTATTGGGATATAATTTGGGGACGTAATATATTGTGACCATTGGATTGATAATGAAGTGCATTTCATGTTGTGACCCATTGATAATATAATATTCATAATAATTATGCCCTCAAATGATATCCTAATAGCATTACTCATAAAAATATACGACACCCTCAAGATGACCTCTAATTGTTTTTTGAATTTTGTTGCAAAAATAATAATTATGTCCCAATGACATTACTCATAAAAAGATATGGCCCTGTCAAGATGACTCTAATTTTTTTAAGTAATGCTATAGGGAGCTAATTTGGAGATGGAAATCTAATGATGTAGTTTCAATGAAATCTTTGGATTAATTGTGAGTTCTAATGTTAGATGGAGCCCACTACCAATTTAATGATTTTATAAGATTAAATCCCTAGCATTTTTCTTTTTTCTTTTTTAAAATTTTTTTTGCTTTTACACTTCAGCTTAGGGGGTGTCCATGGGCCAGGCCGGGTTAGGCCCACAAATATTTTTCGGGCCGGACCTAAGTAGTATAGGTCCAAGCCCTTACCTAAGTGAATTATTGGGGTGAGCCAAGTCGGGCTTCGGGTAGGGGTAGACTACCCGCAGTCCAACCCGTGAGCCTATTGGGCGGGCCTGTGGGCAGACTTGTTGGACGGGCCTGCTCGCGGACTTTTTTATATGCAATTTTATTTAAAAATAATGAATATTTTTGTAACTTAATATTTGTGTAAACAATATATTTGAATCAAAAATAGAGTCAAAATAGATAAAAATAAAATAAATAAATAATTTTATTTTTAATTAGGAGATGAATTACATCTAATAGAATGAATACATCTCAACTAGATTGACACCTACTCACTTATCTATCATTTGCATTACTCTACCTTTTAGAACTTGTATGTTTAATACATGGAAATAAAATAATACATTATTTATAGTATCTAAATTTTTAAAACTTCAAATTCTGGCATTGGGAGACTTATTTCAAAGTTTCAAATTTAATGGTCTAAAAATATAACCTTTTTTCAAATGAAGAGTGGGCGGACTATGTGGACGGGTTGGGCTTGACAGGCCGGCTTTGGGCTGGGTAATGAATTTGGGGGCAAACCCAAGCCCACTTTTTAAGGATATTGGGCTTGGACTCGGGCGGGCCAACTATCATACTTATTGGGTTTCGAGCCTATTTTTTTTCAAATTGAGTAACGGAACCCATGGGTAATTCGACCCATGGACGCCCCAACTTCCCCTCCCATCTTTTCTGCTTTTCAACTACTATTTGAGGATAGAAAACGTCTTTATGTAGCGCGTTTGCACCCTTCATCTAGAATGGTGTTTTACAGAGGCTAATATGGTGATTGTTATCCAGCCTATATTTAATTGCAGTGGGGGGCCCCCTCAAGGTTTTTACTCTCTCTCTCTCTTGGTTTTCATGGCATACCAAAAAAATAATTTTTTATTTCATTCTGTTTTGTTGGAGATCTATATCAATATTGTTTCTTCTGTTTTATTAGAATCATGGCTCTAGAAGAATATACTTTAATAAAAATATGGTAATGTGCAAAAAGTCTTGAATTATTTTATCATTGAATGCTATTTTTTTGTTTTTGTTTTAGGAGTGGAAGAGAGCTTGTTAAGATTGGTGTGGAAGAGATTTAAGTGGGAAAAAAAAAGAATCTTGAAGAGTTACCGGGCATTGAGTAAGGGAGACACCAGGAGACTAGTATTTGTTGAAGGATTGTATTCAAATCAAACTTTAAATTGAATTTTCTTGTATCCGTATTATCAGTACAACAAGAAGTTTTGATAAATTGATCCATGTTTGACTCTTTGATAGCTTTGAAGTCCTGAACTTGAATAAAAATAGTAAAATCTTTCTTGCAAATTTCATAGTTGAATCGATTGCATACATGAGCTGAGCGAAGAATGAACGGGAAAGGCAGTGAAGATGTTTTCTTTTTGACTATGTGAGTGATATGTTACCCCCAGGACGTTGGATTGTTGGAGCAGCACCATACTGGTGTTGAAGAGTAAAAATAGGGAAAGGAGCACGTGTATATGATGGGGTAAACTTACATAAGTAGCGTTGTAGATACCCTGCTAGAGCCATTTTGACTTCAATGATTGCGAAGCAATGCCCAATGCTTATAATGGCTCTTTGATGTTTGGATTAGCCTATTGAAACAATTTGAATAATTTGCTATATACTGTTGGATTCTATTGATGATGAGGAGAATTTGCAGGGGGAATACAAATGGAAATCATAGATGCGTGTGTGTTTGTGTATTTATGTAACATGTGAGAGAGACATTTCAGAAAATGGGATTTGTATGTGTGCAAATGAATTTTGAAGGATTCTAATTTTGAATTTTGAAATGAAATAATTTTCCTCCCCACAACTCAATTTTCTAACGTGACTAGTTCACTTTTGCTAGTTTGGAAGAAAACCTAATAATTTCTTCCAAGTAGAAAAAACTCAAGGAATTAATTATATGCTTTTTGCTTCAACTTTAATATTGAAAACCCAAGCGCAGATTGAGTGAAGTAATATAATTCTCGGAAGAACGAGGTCAAACCCTCAAGGAATTGTAACAAGAAAGCAATCACACAAATACTAAAACAAACTTAAAAATAACTTATTTATTTAGAGAATTGTTGAGTAAAGAAAGTTAATTTAAATAATTAAAATAGTAATAAAAATACTAGAGCATCAGTTACTCCCTCTCAATTTTGTACAATAATGATTCAAGACTCAAATCTTAACTTGAGACATGAATCAAATGTCCGTTAATTCAAATAACAAATCAAGTAAGAAATCTTGAAGTTATAATCAAAAGATTATTCAGGAACTTGAATAATCAACAAATTATATGATTTTATGAAATAATGATAATTACCTCAAGCGTGAAATAACTAGTTATTTACTCGCAGAGAAATTCAAGTAATCGATGTGCATGGCACAACGACTCAAAAATTTGTACAGAGCAAAACCTTTGCTAAGAAATCAGTAGTTCAATTAACAAAATATCATAAATCATTAAGCACAAATACAATAACAGTACCGTACTTCATTGAGAGGTTCTCCCCTAGCCCTAGCTTAATCTTCTAGCCAAACATGATTAACTAAAATCAAAATAAAAAATGGAAAAAGAATAATAATAATAATCTCTCAATGAGAACCCTTCTTTATACTAGAAATAAATCCTAAGTATAGGTAGAAGCTATAAGCTTGGCTTGGAAGGAATTCCTTTCTAAAAATAAGTCTTGTAAGGTTAAATTCGGTGCATAAAATATTTAGGGGGCGGGTACAAAATATGTATAGACTTCGAGCTTGAATTTCGCATATTTAAAGGTTGAATCACGAAAATTTTGTGAAATGCACTTTTATATCCCTTGAAGTCTTCTTTATAACCCCCAAAAATTAAGTAAATCAGATATCAGAGTCAAAAGTTATGATGAAAATACTAAAAATGTGTCAAATCCTTATCTTCTATGATACTTTCCTAATCTACCTCTAAATGAGTTTTCTTCCAACTTGGACTCTTATAAGGATTAAATTGTTGTCATATCTTCAAGTCTTCCTATTTCAATCTTGACTCTTTAATCCTTATAAATTGTAATTTTTTCTTTAGTGATTGTTTCACTTGCTTTATCCATTATTACTTTAAATCAACTAATTTACCTATAAAATAAATCAAACAACTAGAAAAAGTATCAAACTAGAAATCAAAGAATTTAACACATTTAATAACAAATAATTTGTAATTAATCAATCATTAAATATAATAAAATAGTAATTTTAATGGTTAATCACTTTTACTCCTAGGTTATTTTTTCCCAGACTTAACCCTATGGAGTTAAAAAAGTTACCCATTACAATTTGACAAGACTTCTTCATACAAATCATTTATAGTGATAATGATTTCCCTTACATCTGAGTTTTTGAGAGCTCACAAGCATATCAATCAAATTATAGAGTAGTTACATTCACTACACTTTTGAGATTTACACACAACTTATAGGGAGGTAGCAATACTTAAAACCACAGATAGACACGACCATTAAGTACGAATTACTATGCCATTTTTGTTTACTAAGAATTTAGATTTTTTGTAAAATCATCTTAGCACTATACTGGGGTTGAAATGTCAGAACACGGAAAGGAGCATGCTTGTAAGTTGAGGAGACTTGAAATGAGAAGTGTTGGAGGATCATTGCCATAGCCATTTTTGCTTCTGTCATTACGAAGTTTTGTCCAATGCAGATTCGAGGACCTGAACTAAATGGGAAGAATGAGGCTTGGCTTTTTGTTGTCTTTGCAACTCCTTCAAAAAACCTTTCTGGTTTGAATTCTTTCTCATATTTGCCCCAAATTTCATTATCATGATGAACTAAGATTATAGGTTAGGAAAGTTGCACTCCTGGCGGCAGGGTTATATCTCCTAGCTTTGTTTTCTTGTGTGTGGTTCTGAATAGCTCAGGCGCAAGTGAAAACAGCCTCAGAACCTCGTACAGAATCATAGTTATCTGGCAAAAAGTATGATGTAATTGAGATTATTAGTTGTTTTAATTATCTTTGTTACTTTGTATGTACATGTCATGCAGAGAAGATTGATAAATAAAGTAAATGCTCACAATTTTCTAGCAGTTCAATCTATCTAAGTCTGGTTTATTCTTCAAAAAAGCTTGCAAAGCCTCTTCTCTCGCATGTGCCTGCCAGTCTTGATGCTTGCCCAACATAACCATTGTCCACACTAGCAAAGTTGTGGTGGTCTCTTGTCTAGCAAAGTAGAACAACTTCCATTCCTCAATCTTATCTTCAACGGTGATTCCAATGCCCCTCTTGTTCCCCTGTTCTTCAATTTCTTTCAAATTGGATTCCAACAGCATACCTAGTAAGTCACCATTCTTGTCGTCTTCTACTTTCATTGCTTTCTGTCTTCATTCGACAATTTCCCTCAGCCTTGCATTAACTTCTTTGTGGATTAACTTCATTCTCTTGTTGGTCGTAGTTGGCAAGAACCTATGAGGTAAAGTAAAATAAACCACAAATTTTATGCAGTGAAATTACTACACAATTAATCAAAGATACTTGAAATTTACCTCCATCCTGGGATGTAGTTTGACTGCAGCTGTTGGGATGTCAGTTGAGCTTGTTCTTTCTGGAGCTGGAATATCCTTCTTCCTTCTTCATAGCTACTACCAAATGCCGTCCGGGAAATCACGTCACCAGTTAAATTTCCAAGATAAGGCCACACATCAATCTCGCATGATCCTTTTATGGGCACCAACACATCCCACTCGCTAATAATCTCGTTGCAGTTCATATACATTGTAGGTAACATATGCTATGAAAATGTCACACACCGAGTGAAAAATGAACCGAATGTTAAAATCACAATTCCATAGAGTCACATAAATTGTTTGATTTCGAATGGAAGTTTGAGTACTGTAGTTACTTACAGAATGTAAGTAGTTATAGTATGAAGTACAGAAGTTGCATATAGTTTTCTTAGAAAGGAGAGAGGGGGGACAGCTAAATTAGGAGGTTTTTATTGGAGATATTACCTGTAACTTGAACATTTCTTGGGTGCACATAAACAGCCAGCACACACAAAATAGAGAGGAAGAGAAATTCCAATTTTGGGAAGGTAACTGAAATTGGCAACAAACAATGGTGCAAAAACTTTTTATTAGAGTGCCAAAAGTGATTTTTGTGGGGCCAATATCATTGACCTTTTGAAATTCAAGAACAAATATTAGCCCCAATAAAGGGTGAAAAAATAAAGAAGGAGAACCTTGTGGGTTAGGTGCGGTGAACCGAAGTCACAATTCTTAAATATTCTTATTGAAAATAGTGGCATTCTTAAATATTATTGCGCAACAAACATATATTCATACATTGAAATGTCAGGCCGTAGCATGCTGAAATGGATTAAACTCTATTGATACTTGCATAGATCGATAGATTTTATCATTACCTTGAGCTTCTCCAAAGTGAAAGCTGGGGTGATAATCTTTTTATATTTGGTCCATTTTTGACCCTCATGGGAAACAGTCCTAGACACTAGCAAGATGATCAATGGACTTGACAATGAATTCTGAAAGATGTTGTACTTGAACAAAAAATCCCTTATCATATTAGGATCCATGATGTTTGCCCACAGTTCTGGTCCATTCCATATAAAAGATTTCTTGCCTGTGAATCACAGAATTTTTGAGAAAGCGCTTTCAGATACAAGCTAAATAATAAGTTCAAGAATCTTGAAAACCAAAATTTTCATGGTATTAGGTTAGTTTCAAATGATCAATAATCTTTTTAAATCTTAGGCTTGTAAGTTTGCACTTATTTTTTCCTCTCGAAGTTTGAGGTTGTTAAGTTCTTGGGAAAATAATATTGCAAGGTTTTTTTTTGGGGTAAGTAAATATGTTCATTAAACTTTGCAAAATGTACAAGTAAAGTGTTGTCTTTTGGCTATCATATGACAACTGAAACAAAGAAATTGAAACTGATAAAAGTACTGCAAAATAGCAAAACTTGTACCCGTTCATGAAAACAAAAGAAGCTCATAGACTAGCAAGAGCATTATAGACCGAGGAACTCCACATCTGAAGGAATACTAAGTTCATTGGAGTATGCCGGTAGTTAGTAGTGATAAGTTTGCATTTGATAGCTTGAATAATGGATTTGAAGATGGTTGCTACATCCTTGTATTCGTTCCTGAAGATTCTAGTATTTATTTCTCTCAAAAGAGTGTAAATTGTGACTGCAAGGCTCAATTTAAACACAAGTTGCATATAGTTTTCTCTAAAAGGAGGGGGGGGGGACAACTAAATCAGTAGGTTTTTATTTGATATATTACCTATAACTTGAACATTTCATGGGTGCACATAAATAGTCAGCACACAAAATAGAGAGGAAGAGAATTTCCAATTTTGGGAAGGTAACTGAAATTGGCAACAAACAATGGTACAAAAACTTTTTATTAGAGTGCCAAAAGTGATTTTTGGAGGGCTAATATCATTGACCTTTTGAAATTCAAGAACAAATATTAGCCCCAATAAAGGGTGAAAAAAAAAAGAAGGAAAACCCTGTGGGTTAGGTGCGGTGAACCAAAGTCGCAATTCTTAAATATTCTTATTGAAAATAGTGGCATTCTTAAATATTATTGTGCAACAAACATATATTCATACATTGAAATGTCAGGTCATAGCATGCTGAAATGGATTGAACTCTATTGATATTTGCACAGATCGGTAGATTTTATCATTACCTTGAGCTTCTCCAAAGTGAAAGCTGGGTTGATAATCTTTCTAGATTTGGCCCATTTTTGACCCTCATGGAAAGCAGTCCCAGACACTAGCAAGCTGGTCAATGGACTTGACAATGACTTCTGAAAGATGTTGTACTTGAACAAAACATCCCTTATCATATTAGGATCCATGTTGTTTACCCTCAGTTCTGGTCCATTCCATATAAAAGATTTCTTGCCTGTGAATCACAAAATTTCTGAGAAAGCGCTTGCAGATACAGGCTAAATAATAAATTCAAGAATCTTGAAAACCAAAGTCTTCATGGTATTAGGTTAGTTTCAAATGATCAATAATCATTTTAAATCTTAGGCTTGTAAGTTTGGACTTATTTTTTCTTTCCTCTCGAAGTTTGAGGTTGTTAAGTTCCTGGGAAAATAATATTGCAAGGTTTTTTTTTTTTTGGGTAAGTAAATATGTTCATTAAACTTTGCAAAATGTGCAAGTAAAGTGTTGTCTTTTGGCTATCATATGACAACTGAAACAAAGAAATCGAAACTGATAAAAGTACTACAAAATAGCAGAACTTGTACCCGTTTATGAAAACAAAAGAAGCAAAAGAAGCTCATAGACTATCAAGAGCATTATAGACCGAGGAACTCTACATCTGAAGGAAGACTAAGTTCACTGGAGTATGCCGGTAGTTAGCAGTGATAAGTTTGCATTTGATAACTTGAATAATGGATTTGAAGATGGTTACTACATCCTTGTATTCGTTCCTGAAGATTCTAGCATTTATTTCTCTCCAAAGAGTGTAAATTGTGACTGCAAGGCTCAATTTAAGCACAATGACCCTGAGAGATTTTCCTCTCAAGTGTTCAGAAGCTAACTGTGTTGCATTTGGCCATGTGAGAGAAAACAAATCAAAGAAATGATTCCACCTGTCACTAAGCAATCAAAGAAAAGATGGCAGTGACTTTCCTCCATGTTTCTGCAGTACACACAGATAGAGCTTAACTGCTGCATATATTTCTTGATATGATCTATAATCCCTAGCTTCTCATTAATATTGCAAGGTTAAACAATGTGTATCACAAGATATATTTTCTTCTTTTGTTTGCAAAAGATGTTTGAATTATTGTCTGAGGATTGAAAAACACCAAACAATCCAAATTTTTTATGTAGCACATCTAAATCAATCATTGAATTTATGTTCAACTACCAAAAATAGGTGCTCTGCTAAACCAAGGTGAAAAGGTGGAGGTTTGTCCGAGTGGTTGATGAGTTATTCATTGGGGGTGCGACAACCGCATTTGCAGTTTCCTTTTCCCTTCTCTCTCTCTCTCTCTCTATACACACACACAAAAAAAACACAAACACTTGCATATAAGGACTAAAGAGTTTGTAGAAGGGTACTTTATAGAGGCAGACAATAAGGGTGCAACTCGAGTTGGTTGTGCTGGTTGAGAGATCAACCTTAGCCCAACCCTAGGTATGTAATCTGCAACTGTAACTCTAACCTTAAATCTAACCTTATCTCAACCCGAGGTACTCAACTCAAGTATTGTCCAAGTTTAATTCGGTCGGACTCGGGTTGAATTTGAGTTACTTAATTTGTACTGATTTCAGGTTAAAAATTGGGTTGGCTTGGATTATTTAATTCGGGTTATTTTTTGAAATGTAAATTTTATTTTTTCGAGTGTAGATCTGATTTTTTCAAGTGATCTAAAATGAAGGGCGAGACGTAGATGAAGAAAGTAGGAGTGAGAGAAGGAGGAGTGACTAGTGAGAGAGGGAGGCTGAGAGAGGGTGAAGTGACGAGTGAGGGAGGGATCTGAGAGTCATGGAGGCGTAGAGGTGAAGATTTGAAGTGACGTGAAAGTCTGGACTCTAACGAGTGAAGATAAATACTTTTTTTTAGTGAAGATAAATACTAACCATTGTTAAATATATTTATTTATTTATTTATATTTTGGGTTCAACCCGATTTAATAATTGGGTTCAACCCAATTTTAATAATCGGGTTGAACCCGACAATCCGAGGTCTCTGCTGAAAAAATAATATTAAATATGACTTTTCATGTTTTAGGAGTTATTTTTATGTATTTAGTTTTTTGTATTAGTGGGTCATCAATTTGATATTAGTGGGGGATAAAGTAATTGTAATATTTTAATTCTCCAAGTAATGGAGGAGTAGAGTTTTTATTATTTTAATTATTGCATTATGTAGTGGAGTTATTTTGTATGTCATGAGTCTATATATATCCTATGTAATACATCCATTTGGATATGAGTGAATAGAAAGATTTCTCACAATCTTCAATAGTCTCTTTTATTATATTTTTTGAGTGTGTGATAGTCTTCTAGATTCCAACAAAGTAGTATCAAAACTAGACTTTAGTGTTGAAAAGAGAGAGTGAGAGAGAGATAGCGAATGGAATACTTCCATTTCAAATGCCTCGATTCACCAAAGATAACTATGAGAACTGGTGTATCCACATGAAGACAATTCTTATATCTCAAGATTTATGGGAGATTGTAACAATTGGTTACACAGCACCGCAAGATGAAGCTTCCTTAAGTCAAGCCCCAAAGGAAATCTTACAAGCTACAAAGAAGAATGATCAAAAGGCTCTTTTACTCATCCATCAATACTTGGATGATGCTATGCTACAGAAGGTAGCTAGTGCAACCACATCCAAGCAAACATGAGATGTTCTGAAAATCGCTCATAGTGGAGTGAACAAAGTCAAGAAAGTTCGCCTCCAAACTTTACGTGGTCAATTTGAGGCTTTACGTATAAAGAAATCCGAATTAATTTCAGATTATTTTACAAGAATCTTAGTGGTTGTGAATAATTTGAGAACTTATGGTGATGATCACTATGATGATACCTGGGTGATAGAAAAAATTCTCCGTTCATTGGACCCCAAGTTTGACTACATTGTCGTAGCCATTGAAGATTCTAAAGATTTAGACACAATGACGATTGACGAATTCATGGGATCGTTGTTATCCCATGAAGAACGGCTAGGCAAGAAGAAGCAAGAGCCGTTGGAGCAAGTGCTACAAACCAAGCTTTCTTTCAAAGAAAAAGAAAGAAGGCAAGATGGAAGTCAAAGAAATAGAAGGCGTGGACGTGGAGGTGGAGGTCGTGGTGGACGTGGTTGAGGTAGAGCAGAAAACTTTGGCCAAAATGTGTCCAATAAAGAAGAAAGAGACCAAGAATCACATCATGTAAGAGGACGTGAAAGAGGCAAAAATTCAAAGTCATATGGAGGGAGTTAGGACATATCTCATATTCAATGTTATAATTGTCATCGATATGACCACTTTGCTTCCGAGTTTAGAAATGATTTTGTGGAAGAAAAAACACATTTTGTTGAAGACAAAGTTGAAGAGGTAAAACCGACCTTGTTGTTGGCATACAAAGAAGGGCAAAAGGAAGACAAGAACGTGTGGTTCCTTAACTCCGGTGCTAGTAATCATATGTGTGAAAATAAAGAGATGTTTGTGGAGCCTGATGAATTGGTGAGTGGAAAAGTCACTTTTGGAGATTCTTCTCAAATTTCGGTAATGGGAAGAGGTAATATTTCGATTTGTTTGAAGGAGGGAAGACACAAAATTATTTCTTTTATTTTTTATGTTCCAAACATGAAAAATAATATTTTGAGCTTGGGAAAACTCTTAGAGAAAGGTTATGATATTTGCATGAAAATTCATAATCTTTTAATAAGAGATGGAAACAGGAATTTGGTTGTTAAAGTGCCGATGACAAGAAATAAAATGTTTTTGTTAAATATTCAAAGTGATGTGGCAAAATGCTTGAAAGCATGTGTTAAAGATTGTTCTTGGTTATGGCACTTGAGATTTAGGCACTTGAATTCCCTTTGAAGCCTTGCTCCCTCAGGCATTTCTCCATCTTCTTTGGCCTGAACCACAGCCAGTTTAGTACACTCCATGCCCATGTGAAGAATATAACCAAAGCAAAGGACACTGCAATTGAGGTGAGTTTCACTTCCATGTTTAAGTGGAAAAGCAGAGAGAGAGAGAGAACTATAAGACCAAAAGTTTATTTAGAAGGAGATAGCGAGAGAGAGTGTGCCTTGAAAGAAAGATGAGTAGGGAGGTAGACCAATTACTACATGTGTGGTAAAGCTGGTATTGGACAAAGTGTCCAGTGTATTATTGCACAGTTGGTTGGTTTGTCTATATCTACTAGATGTCAGACTTGTAGAGATGACAGGCGCTCAATCGTCCAAAGTGATATGTTGTAGGTTGGTTGTCCAGAAATTAACCTTGCAAAAATGGTTTGTCTATATATGCTGGCTGTTGAATCTTTTTGTTCGACACAAAAGCTGAAGGGGCACTATTTTAATTAGGTGCACACATCATGTGATGCAGTCAACGTGGTGTGTGTGTGTATTTTTTTTTTGATAAGTACCGTGTTGTACCTACCTTAAATTTTTCTCCTTAGACCTTGCTATAGATGGGATATTTTCACATAATTTTATGGTTGAAAAAGTTGATTTATTTACTTTTATTTTTTAAAAAAGAACATTTATTACCAAACAACACAGATTCCACAACGGAGGCCTTTTTCTCAGGGACATGGTTCATATATCACAAAAGTATTAAATCATTTAGATATTCTTTATACATTACAAAGATCACACAAGGAGATCAAACCTTGCAAATTTGCCCTCTCCTTTTAAACAGGAATGCATACAATTACAGGGCACAACTCAATATGATGTAAGTACTAGTCAGACCCTTGACTCGTGCACTTGGATGCCTTTTTAATAGTAGCCAAATTTCGAGATCATATTCTACGTAAAATCAAGTGAGCACCATTTTGCCATTGAAGGGTTACAGCAAACGTGGGAGCATGGGTATAAGAAGGTGAATGTTTGAACAAGAAGCGTTAAAGAATCATTTCCAGACTGAGTTTTGCTTCTATTGTTGCGAAGTTGTTTCCAACACATGTTCTCTTTCTGGTTGGGATTCTTTCGCGTCTTCGCCCCAAATTTCCTTATCATGATGAACAATGATTATTGGTAAATAGAATTACACCCCACCAGGTAGAGTTATATCTCCTACTTTTGTTTCCTTGTGGATGACTCTTGTAAGAACAATTGAAGGTGGGTATAATCTGAGGGGGTGTTTGGATGCCTGGATAAAGATGGATACAACA